TCCCCTTTGGAAGGAGATGGGGGAAGAGAGCCATGAAGAGAGGTGAGCACCGCCGGCCCCAAACCAGCCCAGTTAAAGGACACTCAGACGCGGTGGGGGGTTTGTCGAGCAGCAGTTCCGTTTATTATCACACAAGCACTTGCTTTTAAAGGCAAATGGGGAAGGGAGGTTTTTTACATAATCTTATCAGCTTAAAGGTCAAGGGCATACATCCTGTCTCAATGCCTAGCTATTGCAACCACACAGTGTTCACAAGCACGAAAGCACATATTTGGCCAATAAGGGCTAAGGCAAGGTTCCCGCAGACACTCCCACTCTACTTCCTCCCAGTGCTGTCTTAGGCTGCCACGTTAATAGGCCCTTGTGGGCCCATAATGGCACCACTTGTAATGTCACCTAAGGTGGCGTTAGTTTTTAAGGCCCCACAACAACTAAACAATGAAACAAATAATCTGATTAAAAAAATAAGCAAAGGGCTTCAACAGACACTTCTACAAAGATGATATACCAGTGTCTAACAACTCATGGAAATACACTTAACATCATTAATCACTAGAGAAATGCGAAACCACAATGAAGTATCATTTCACACCTAATAGAAAATAACAAGTATTGGCAAAATTGGAAACTTTGTATGCTTTATGTGAGTATATAAAGTGATGCAGCCCCTATTTTAAAAAAAAGTACAGTGACTTCTCAAAAACTTAAAAACAGAATTACCATAGGATTCATAAATCCAAGTTTTGCAAATATATCCAACATAATTAATAGCAGAATCTCAAAAAGATATTTCCACACCTGTGTTCACAGCAGCATTACTCAGAGTTAAGAGGTGAAAGCAACTCAAATGTTCAGCCATGAATGAATGGATAAATAAAATGTGGTCTATAAATACAAAGAAATAATACCTAACCTTAAGAAGAAAGGAAATCTTGACATATGATATAACATGGAACCTTGAGGACATTATGCAAAGTGAAACAAGAGACTTACAAAATGACAAGTATTGTATGATCCCACTGATGACAGTCAAAGTATTAGAAACACAAAGTAGAATAGTGGTTGCCAGAGGGTGGGAAAAGGGGGAAATTGGGAGTTGCCATTTAATGGATATAGAGTTTCAATTTTCCAAGATAAAAAACTTGTGGATATCTCCTGAACAACAGTGTCAATATACTTAAAACTACGTAAAGGTTAAGAAATGATTCAAATGGTGGATTTTATGCTATATGCTTTTTACCAAAATTAAAAATAAATTATTTTAAAAGCCAATAGCTGAACCAAAATAAAACATTTTTTCAGAATTAATTGATAAAAAATTAGAAAATGAAAAGCAGATGATTAAAAGACAGATGAGGCAAATACAAATAGAAAATAGCAAAACGGCACACTTAAATTAAACCTTAACAATAATTAGTTTAAATGGAATTACATTAAATATTCTATTTAAGGCAAATACTGTCAGACTTGATAGGAAAGTAAGATATCAACAATATACTGTCCAGAGAACTACATTTGAAATACAAAGAAACAGACAAAATGTAAAATAATGGAAACATATCTAACATAGCAACACAAATATGAAAAGCATAAGTGGAAATATTGATACCAGCAAAAGAATCTTCAAGACAAATTATATTACTAGAAATAAATGGAATACTGAAAGATGTGGGCCAAACTACCACCTCCCATAACTTGGAAAATGGAAAGGGTATCTCACCATCTCAGGGTCTGCCAAAGGAGAGTCTTGGGCACAAAGGAAAAGTGCTACTTGGCCTTTTCTCTCTGTCAGTGAGAAAATAAAAGAAGTATGTTCAATTTTCAAACAGAATTTAGAGAAAATATGAAGGAGCCAGGACTTGTTGAGTTTGAAATAAAAATATTTTTCCATCCATTTTTCCCAGAAAAACATTTTCAAACTGTTTTATGGCAAGGATCAAGTCCATTGTTTTCCAAAAAAGATAAAAGACCAAAAATATTTCTAGCTTTCTAAGTACCATTGGATCTGACACATAGATAGTGCCTAGTAAACAATAAAACTTCTAAGGAAATAGCCACCATGGAGAGAAGGGGAGGTCAGAGAACAAAGGGCCTGACTCAGAATGTGTTGGGGTAGCACTGATCTAATGGATTTTAGCACAATGAAAACCCATGTTTTTATGGCAGTGAATACACCAGATAATTTCCTGTATCAAAAGGCCAGAGTTAGAAAAAAGTAAAAAAGGAAGGATGTTCAATCCCCCAACATATAATAACCAAAAATAGGCGAAGAAAGTCAGTCAACTGCAAACCCAGCCATTCAAGGCAAAGAGATACTGACAGAGAATGGTGAGAGCCCAGAGGACACAGTGAAGAGGCACAAAGCATCCTTTCCAGGGACCAGGACTAGGCCCTAAGGAAATACTAAAGCAGGTGCCTGATGGGAATATGTAATTACTCAGTCCAGTGCCTTCAGCGTGCTGCTGCTTCTCACCAACCCTGTCTGAAGAAAAGTGCACACATGGCCATGCCTGTCTGTTCACTGTAAGCTGGATGTGTGTTAAAAAGATGACAGGACACTGGAGCTTGTTCAGTTTGGCTTTTTGTCAACTGCACAGTGGTAGAATATTTCTAGGGCTCTTGAGAGGGGCAAAGTGTATTTTGCATGCAGTAGAAATTTATGGTCAGAGAACAGACTGTGGTCTATTCAACAGTGCTGCAAAGTCTTGCTATTTCTCTTATTGACAGGTAGAATCTAATTGCCTTCCTTACCTTGAATCAAGGCTGGTCTTAGTGATGTGCTTGACTAAGAGAATACACTGGAAGAGATGCTTTGGTATCTGAGTGGAGATAACAAGAATCCTTGCAGCGTCTGCCTGGGCCTCTTGGACACTTGTTCTGGCAGAAGCCAAATAAACCTGACTACCCTGAGAATGCCACTCTGTGAGGAAGTCCAACATGGCCACAAAGAGAGGGTTGGATGTCTGCTCAGTGTTCCCAGCCACTAGAGATTTTCCAGCTCAGAGAAGAGACCTTGTCTAGCAGTGAACCCACACCACCCTGTCCAGATTATGGACCCAAAACATTGTGACATGTCATAAGAAGATGTTCTTATTTTAAGCTATGAAGTTTTGTGATACTTTGTTGTGCAGCAGATTACTGGAACAGCAAAAAAGTTATTAGAGACCTTAAGCACTACTTTGACTTGAAACACGAAGAGTGTAAGTTCACAATGAATATTAGATTCAAAACAAAGACTGAAAGCATTTCACATCTTATGTTAGGTCTCAAACTACAATTGTGAATGTAAATATTTGGTTAACTGATTTGTCAATTTTTGCTCTTAACTAGCTGTTAGCGACAGTTCTGCTTTAAAAACATACTGAAGACTAATGCACACATCCATTTTCCGCATTCATTTTTAAGTAATTACCTGAAATAGGAGAAGAATAAAACACAATCTGTAAGAAAGTTTAAAAACATGATGGGTCTTATTGAACTACAAACAGGTAACTGTATATTAATAAAAACTACAAACAGAATCACTGATGTAAATTTATAGAAGCAAAAGGTAGACATTAAAAAGTTGTACATTGTTTTTATTATTCCATGTCTTTTTACTGACCGTTGTTCAAACATGTCCCAGTCACTCCTGAAGTCTTTCTCTCCATGGACTCACAGCTGCTGGCTAGAAGCACAGGTCACCAGGGATTGAACCTCATAGCCCAGCAAACACTACCTTCAGGTTTTTACAAGAATGATATTTCCAGCAGAACAAAGTTACAGTCTTTATGAGTACAAACATCTCTCCCTATACTGACGGTGTACATAGAAATTAGAATAAAATGAAAAAACCAAACAAACAAAAGTAGCAGGAAGTAACATGATATAAATTAGGCCCAAGAAACAGGGAGGAGTCCAGGAGAAATCTCATTTTGGTGGCTTGTGTCAGTGGTGGGGCGGTAGTGATAACATATATAAGAGAAGGGGAAGTGGTTATAATTTTAAAATTGTTGACTTTGAGATGATAGTTTTTTTTCCCCTGGCAGGTGGCTGGTGCAGAGATCTGAACCCTTGACCTTGGTGTTAAAACACCATGATCTAAACAACTGAGATTACAAACCAGTCCCTTGAGGTGCATTATGAATAGCTACAAACAAGCATTCAACAGAGTTCAACCTAACATCAATAGACTAGGGAAGAAGTACAACCTGGAGACAAAGAAGAGTGCAAACTACAGAGGACTGAATCAGTGAGAAAGAATTTCACATGAGAAGAACAGGGCCCAGGATGAAGCACTTTGATAAGCTACGTTACAAAAAAGAAAGTAGAAGAATTCAGGAGAACAGAGAAATAACCATCAGTGAAATCATGAGAGAAACTAATAAACTAACACAGAGGAATTTCCAGGAGAATATCATGAACAGTAGTTCAAAATGTAGCAGAAGACTCAAGCTAGAAAAGAACTAGAGAATAGACATTGGATTTGATTATAATTTAGGTTATCATTCTACGTTTTCCTATGAACTAGTACAGTCTTCCAGTCTTCCAAAGCCATTTGAACTAGATTTGTTTTAGGAACTTTATAAAAAGCTCACTAAGCAACTTGTGCCCTATAATGAGGTAACTGTTTCCACTGCAGAAAGTGAGAAATGTTTATTTCCAGGTCAGCAGTGAAAAACTTTCTAATATTGATGGCGTTTCAGAATTTGGTGCCACCAAGTCCTCACATCCCAAGAGAATTTGGCAGATTCTCTTCTCAGGTTCCATTCCAAGCATGTAAACAAGGTGTCTGCCTTTTTTCCATGACATCACAAAGACCAGAGAAAAATTTTTATCCAACTTAGATGACTCTGAAGTCTTACAAACTGCTATATCTACATGCCAACTTTATCTTATGAATGTACATTTCTTTCAAGTTGAGTTTTACTCACCTGTACTTTTCAGTTTTAATTTATGCATGCCATAAAGCTCACATAATACAATAAAAAATTCTGAGTAATAAATACCAAAAAACTCACCAGAGATTTATCCATCTTTTCTTGCTCTTGTAAACCCATAGCGCACTCTGGCAGCATAGCTGGGAGAAAAGAAAATGGAGTGGATTAAGGAGAGTACGGTTGTGGCTTGGCTCTACATTCTCCTTCCCTTACTAGGTGAAAAAGACAAACAAAAAGCCTTCCTGTGAGAGAACAGTCCTTCATGCCTCAATAAGGGGCAACAAGACCCCATGAAAGATGTGGCTACAAGTACATTAATAGCTACACATTACACACACAATGTATTTTGGGGTCAAAGAAAACATACATAGCTGACTGACTTAGCACGAAACAATATCACCTAAACATATAACTTAATACCTTAAACCAAAGAAAACACATTGTGACATCATAGGATTAGTGTTGTAGAAATCATTTGGCTGTATTAACTGTTACCCTACTAATATGTTAAGTTCACACATGACTCCAAAAAAGTGTTTCCATTACAACACATCTTCCTTTTACGTACCTAAATATCTGGATAGTGTGCATCTTGTAACCCAGCACACATTGCCCATGATTACATAGGTAAACAAAATACACATGATCTATATTTCTTCTGGCACATGATCTCAATGTACCCAAGCCATCATATAGCATGCTCTGATGATAAACTAGTCTTTGTCATGTGACCTGCTTTAGACAATGGCCCATTAGAAAATGTCATGCAAACATAGGTTTGAAAAGTACTGGCCATTGGTGCTTGCCTCTTAAACACAGTCATACTGTGAAGAAGGCTGGGGAGACACTGGGCCCATCCAAGGGTCAGCACAAACCACAGGACATGTGAGTGAAGCCATCTTTAACCAAACAGCCTCAGTCGAGGTACCAGGTGACTAAATCCACATTTGTGACACCTGATGAGAACTGCCCAGCTAAATGCACCCCAAGATGTGGATCCATAGAACTTCAGAAAAAATAAGATGGCTGGGTTTTCATGTAATCATGTAACCCTGGGCAAGTCACATTTTCTCATATCCAATTATTTTCACTTTTCTTACAAGGTAGAAATATGGGGAAAACCATTCCTGAATGACCAGAAAAGAACAATGAAAACAGAGAACTATCAGCACATCTCTAGATGCCAAATTTGGCCATAGGCTGGGTTTGAGAGAGCACAGACACTGGGAACAATGAGGGAAGATTGAAGGGAGTGTGTTCAGAGAGCACTGCAGACAGATCCTCTCAGCTGTGACAGGTTATTCCTGCACCCCACAGAACACCTTCAAACCTTCTTCAATAAGTAACACCTCCTGGGTCCCTGCCTCTCTTTCTCAGTGTAATTCACTTCTCCCTTCTGAAATTTGGCCCAAACCTTCCGATATCATCCAGTCTTAGATACCCATTGAATGAGGTATTATCAGCCAACCCTGGTGCGCTCTAAGCACTAGACACAATCATTGTTTAGGCTGTGTAAAGCTGGGATCTTCAGCTTTCTGGGACTCTTCTGCCTCTGCCCTGAAGCAGTACTGAGAGGGTTCCAGCCACAATGATGCCCCACCAGGTGGGATTCCTATTCACAGGACACCGTCCATCAAAGTCTGTCATACCTTCACTCCAAAGAAAAGGGGACCGACATCTAGCGCCCCAATCTCCTTCCTAGAAGTCACTGTCCTGGAAACAAGGTTGTGTATCAACTTCTGTAAATTCAAACCAGGAGCGCTAGGCAGGCCGCACAGTGCAGGAGGGACCAGAAACTTGACTTGCTGAAGAGACACCGAGACACTCCAGGACCACAGCAGCCACAGTGACAGTCTGCACACACCTCACGATCCCAGATTCACCTCTGAAACCTGGGGCATCACACTAATGTCCACACGCTCACGTTACGGATGGGTGAAGTGAGTGTCCCACAGGTCGGTGCCAGGTCCCTGTTGGCGGCGCTGGAACGTGACCTCCCCACACCTCCCAGGCTCGCTGTCTTCAGACACCCCCACCCACGTTCCCGTCGCCACCTGGGACCTGAGCCCCCGTCCTGGGACATCTGGAACCAGCTTCTGCACACCCGGCAGCACCCGCCCGCCTTCGAGCACCGCCGTCCTCTGACAGAACGTCTGGAACCGTCTGGAAAGCGAAGCCCAGGAGTCCCTTCCCCTGCCCGGCCCAGGTCCGCGCTCGCGCCCGAGGCCCGCAGCGCTTCTCCCCGCCAAGTGCTGGGACACCGTCCCGCTCCCCAGGGACCCCGAGGCCCGCGGGGCTCCTCTTTTCACCCTCGCACACACCTTCAGGGACGCACAATCCAAACCCAGGATCTGAGGAGCAGCGTGAGGACAGCCGAAACCTCCTGGAATTTCCAGACAAAAGATGGCGGGGGTGGGCGGGGCCGCACATGCGCACAAGGAACCCGGAAAAGCCCTTCGCGTAGTCCCGCGCTGGTGTCGTCACTGCAGGCGAAACTACATTTCCCAGATGGCAGAGCGAGCAGAGCCCCACAAGTACAGAAGGACCTTGGAGCAGCTGTTTAGTGCGCCTGTGCTGTTGACGTCACTGGAAGGTGAGACTACATTTCCCACAAGTCTCTGCCATCATCATTTAGGGACGGAAGGAGAAGATTTTGTTTATTTTCTCAGCAGGGATTCTTGCTACCAGGAGAACAGGACCTGATGGATCAAGACTGGCCTCTTTCCACGTTATTACGAAGTAGAATTCTGATTCTTTACTAAGTCCTGGTTTGACAACCTGAGGCATTGTGAGAATAACAGGGAAATTCGAATGTGGGCCAATTACCGCATGATATTAATAAGTAATTTCACTTTTTTTAGTTGTCATATAGGTATTGCTATTATAGAACCCACGTTTATTTTTGCAGATGCATTTTAGAGGATGAAAAAATCGTGCATCTATTTTACTTTAAATGGTTAAACAAGTGAGAAATTAATATGGTAGCTCTCTTCCAAGCCATTAGAAAATGTTTATTATCATCCAATAAACTAATTTGTCTGTCTTCAATGGATTGTACTACAGAGTTGGGAAGGTTTGTCCCTCTCTCCCAGATAAAGAACGGGTTATTATTACAATCTATTGATGTGACCCTATTAAATTCTAAATTTTAATCCTACAGCCATTGTAGGTCAATGAGCCATGTATTTGCCACCTGAAACAGACTAATACTAACCAGACTCATAGTAACCCAGCTAACGTGAGGTAATGGTTTCTGTCTCATGTTGTGAACATCCCCTTTTCTCCTGGGTCTCCCTATATTCTTACTAGATACAACCTCCTTTGCAGCTAGGGCACCTGATACAGTGTGTTTCACATTAACACCTCATGCACTTTAGGATTCATGTTTTGAGTCTTGTCTGTATGCAGAAGTTTTAATTCTATAAATCGGCAAGTCTGGTAATTAAGATTCAGATGGGAGTTCCAAAAGGAGGTCACCTCGATCATTCTGACCTTAGAGAATCTGGTTCATGTCTCTCCTCTAGCTTCTGGCAGTGTACTGACAATCTTCGACATTCCTTTGCTTGTAGAATCATCACACTGATGTTTGCCTTCATCTTCCCATAACGTTCTCCCTGTGTGGTCTGTGCACAAAGTCCCCCTATTTATAAGGACATTAGTCATACTGGATTAACTAATTACAACTGCAATGGCAGTACTGCAAAATAATATCACATTCGGTGGTAGTGTGGTTTAGGACCTTAACATGTAAATTTGGGGGAAGGGCGAACACAATTTAACTCATAATGGAAACTTATCAGTAACTTCGTCAGAAGCTGTGAACGATAGCACCTCCTCACTAAATGGAGTATAGCAAGTCTCCTGTCGGTATGAACAGAGAGAGCCCATCACATTACTCTAGATTTCATATTGGCTACTTGTATGGGTTTGCTTGGGCTGCCATACACAACACCACAGACTGGGCAGCTTAAACAACAGACATGTATTTTCTCCAAGTTCTGGAGGCTGAATGTTGAAGATCAAGGTGCTGGCAGGATTGGTTTTGTCTAAGGCTCTCTCCTTGGCTGGCAGATGTTTGCCTTCTTTCTTCCTCTTCACATGGTCATCCTCTGGTGTGTCTACATATGTCCTAATCTCCTCTTGTAAGGACAGCAGTCAGATTGTTTTAGGGCCCATACTCATTTTAACCTAACCACCTCTTTAAAGACCCTATCTCCAAATGCAGTCACCTTTTGAAGTTCCTGGGTTTTGAGATTGCAAAATAATTAGTTTGGGGGGAGAAGAGGACAGAAATTAGCCCATGCAGTAGTCAGGATGGTGTCTGTGTCACTACTAATATTTAGATAGATTATAGCTATGCCCATCCACTCTGATATCTGCCAGGCACCTCAGGCTGGGCAGGTCATATCCTGGACTCAGACACACATTTTTCTTGTGACCCCTCTCCTGCAGGTGGCACTCCCCTCTCAAGCAGAAGTCTTGAAAACCCAGATCGCCACACTTCCCTACCTCCCACCTAGTGGTTGCTGCTAAGTTTCTCACTAGACAAATGTCTCCTCTTTTTGTTTTTTGTACAAACTGTCTGTGCTCTGAGAAGTTCATGATATCCTGGTCTAACAAGATCTTAGATGGGGGTGGAGGGTTCTATTGGGCAGGACTGCTGCCTGGGAGGATTGGTGGCCCTGCCCTTCAGAACCTACTCTCTCTGCATTCCCTGCAACCAGGTGCCCTTGACTCAGAGTCATACTCTGTGTCTTGAAAAGGACCATCATGGTATACATAAATAGGGGCTTCCACCTAAGCATCTCTCCTTGTCTACATATACCACTGCACAGTGGTCGCCTTAAACTCCAGGCCCTTCTACACTTGGAAGGTTCTGGTGCTCCAGAAGACTTCAGTCCTGGACATGCAGGACAATGGTGGCCAGTTGGGCAGTGGAGTTTCCACCTACAGTGTGGATGTGCTCAGGCTGGACTTCACTAGACAGTGATTACATCAGGCATGGTGGGGTGCGGAAGTCCTGAGTGCCTCTCACCATGAATTAAACATGCCCTTGGGTCCAAGAACAGAGCCTGTCTAATTGGCTCTTTCTAGAATGGGAATCTGTGCTCTGAGGACATCGGGACCTCAGTGTGACTAAACTGACCCTCAAGCTCTTTACCTCAGTCTGACCTTGTCAGTATCCCCTTCTTCAGACAGCAGGACCATCTCATCACTCAGTGGAGAAAGATGTCCAGATTTTATCCCCAATATCTCCTTTACCCTCACTGCCCACACCTGTATAGTCACCAGTTCTGCCCTAAAGAGCTTTCTTTCCACCCATAAATTTCTCATTTTGGCCACTGTCTTTGGAGTTTGGGATGTTACCAACTTCCAATTGGTCTTGCATCTAATTCTTTTTTTTTTTCTTTCTTGTCAGCTGGCCAGTACAAGGATCAAACCCTTGACCTTGGTGTTATCTGCAAAATGCTGTAACCAACAAAGCTAACTAGCCAGCTGCTTATATTAATTCTTAACCCTAACCTCCGACACCTAATATTTAACCCCTAACCCTTTCCCTAACACACCATTATCCTCAACTGTATACACTGAGCCTAAGCCCTAAACCATAAACAAGCCCTATTACCATAATCCTTAACCCTTAACATGTTATACATATTACCTATTCCTAAACCCTACCACTTAACCCCAATCCCAACTCTAACCCCTAAACCCAACTCTTTCCCCTAAACTGAAAGCTAACCCTAATCTTACCCTAACCCTAAAATCTAAACCGTGAACTGTAATAATGAGCCTTAACCCTAACCTCTAAATCTAACCCCAACAGCAAGCCTATATTTAACCAATAACATTAACCCTAGCACTTAGCCCTACCACAACTGTAACATTAATATCTAACCCCAACCTATATAACCCCTAACCACTAATCCTAACCCTACTCCCTTAAACCAACTATAACCTCTAATCCTAACCCCACCCCTTAATCCTAGTTCCAACCTCTATCCCTAATTCAACCTGAACCTGAACTTCAACATCAACACCAACCCTAACCCCCGCTCTACCTGGGTGGTGTTGGGCTCTGGGAGCAGCATTGGTTTCCTCTTTTCCCAAAGCTCACCCTAAGTTTTCCACACATGAGTCTCCTGTTGGCCCCGCCCTCCTGCGTTCTTTTCCACCTACCTTCTGTCCTTCACCTTCACAGAACCCATTCATGCTGCATTCTTTCTGCTCTGGCCCCAGGGCCCCCCTGGTCCCGACATGAGCACCTGCTCGTTCACTCGGGGAGTTCTGTACTCCTCTGCCACGTCCTTGGGTTTACATTTATTCCTGTTATTATCACCAACATGGTCATTGCCATTGTTAAAATCATCACTGTTGTAATTATTACCATTTTCATTTTTGTCATTGTTGAACAATTATTGAATGCAGCCTTGTGGTCAAGTTATCTTGGGTTCTATAACTGAGTGGACACCCCATTTGGGTAAATCCCTCCCAAAATTTTAATGAAAGTGACCTGTGGCCTTGGTCCCTCAAGCTGATGTGACTTAGGATCTGGGAACAGACTATCTAATTAAGGAGTTAGGATATACAACTAGCAATTGAGTAAGGGAGCACAAAGAAGACAGCTGGGCAGGACGGGATGTTACCTAAGTGATGAGAAGGACCATGAAACAGAGTCACTGAGCTCCAGGGACAGGAGACACTATCTTGACACACATCCCCAAGATGTCTTTATAGGACAAAATCCAGAACATTCCCAGCCCTCAGAATTTGCTGAGGAGGTGAACTGTCAAGAACTGATAGGAGCCTGGTAAGTGATAAAGGAAACTCAGAGTTGTGTCTTTGTTCATGGAGATCCTGTTTCTTTGTGCTCAGAGGCGCAGCCACTCAGAACAGTCAACTGGTGACTCACGCAGCCCCTTCCCCAACCCCCAACACTTTCTTTAAAACTCCTGCCTGTACATGTTCTCAGAGATCAGGATGTTTCTGAGCGTTAGCCACCTGGACTCCATTACTTGGTCTTGTAATTAAAGCTAAATTTCCCTCACTGCAACTCGTGCCACTGTTCTGGCTTTAGCTGCACATCACGTGAAGTGACACAAGTGTGGTTGGTTGTATTACTCTTGCAGCTCACAGCTGGCCATATCTCAGCCCTGTGACAAGTCAGCTCACGTCAAGACCTCTTGGAGCCTTGGTGCCCTCTATGACATGGGGTCAGTGAGTCTGTTCCCGTGGAGGAGGTTGGGCATACAAATTGCCTTGATTGTGTGACCCCATCTTGTCCCACCCCAGAGAGGGGAGGCCTGCTGTGTGGGGATGGTCCAGGCAGACACACTGGAGAAGCTGCTGGAGCAGCCGCCTGGGCAGCGACCCCTCCCACACCCCCACCTTCCTGTGCTCC